CTATCTATCGATCTCCTCTGGAACCTAACCTTCTAGAGTCCATAATTATTGCTAATTTCTCCTTTATTCTGGAAATTTTTTTCGTCTTCTATTATTTGCTACAACTGGAGACTTTTATTTAGAAGTGGTTGGATGGCCTGAAGTAGGAATGCGGCATATAATTGGAGGAAATCAAATCTACAGCAGACGTAAATTTAAAGAGCTGGGCTTCATCAACACTAAAACGGGCTTCAACTTGGGCTTGGGCTTGGGCTTAAACAGCCATTTATTCCTCTCAAAACATTATGGAACAATATAGATTTTAATCTAGAGTTATGATATTCTTGGTCAACAATTGCATTAATCATCCTTATGAGTCAAATTATTATTTGCGTTATTAACTTGTTATTTGAAACAATAAAATTATTAGAATTAATATCTCCAATAATCAACTGTCACATGCAATGAATTGATGCAATCATTGATTATGAATAACATTATTTATTAATTTAAATCAAAGTCAATATTAATTTTAATTATATATTTCACTGAACTCACAATTTTTTAACATATATTTCATCAACTCGGTGAGCATAGTGTAACATTTGTTTAGAATATAATTGGAGTATATAATTCCTTTCAAAAATTCATTTTGAGGATATAAATAAGTAATATAAATACATTATTAGCAAAATCTTAATTAAGGACTGATATATATATATATATATATATATATATATATATAACCATATTTCAATCATTAGTTTTTTAGCATATTGGTGTTAACTTTGTAGTTTTGCACAACCTTAATCGTCATTAAATGGTTCTTATTAATATTGTCGGTAAAAGGGCAATTTACTAAAAACTTGAATTCCATGAAATATATGACATTAAATTTAAATTAACGATTGACTTTGACCTCATTTTTTCAAGCTTCTCTAAACAAACACTTTTTTTCTCCGCCTAACACAATAATCACTTCTAAACTCAAATTATACACAAAATAATTATAAAAGTAATTTGTATTTCTCTTTTCATTTTCAGAAATTCCTTTACAAAATTCGAAGAAAAAGAAAACAGTATTGAAGAAATTTCTTCTCCACCTACCAGCCCACACGAGAATTTGGTCATTCTGTAAGCCCTTCAAGTTCCATTTTCCACCTAACACTCACCTCCATCTACAGCATATCAGTCTTATAAATCCCATTACACATACACAGGTGCACAATTCGTGAGCATTGACGAAGAAGAAGAAGACTAGGAGGACGAGGACGACGACGACAAGGCTAATGGTGGGTCCGACCCGTCCGCAGTTCGTGTTGTTCGGGTCATCCGTAGTTCAGATGTCGTACAACGTTGGTGGCTGGGGTGCTATTCTTACTGATCTTTATGCCCGCAAGGTATGCTTTTGGATATCCCATGTTATACTTTTCTTTATAATTGAGCCATTTATGAAGTTATAATCAATGCATCTAATTTCTTGTCTGTACAATCCAGTAAGCTGACTTTTGATTTATACCATATGTTTCATGCTACTTGAGATACAGAAATGTTAAAGGACAAACCAGTGCATCTAATTTAGTGATTCTATGAGTTCATGAAGTTGGGGATTTCTTTTCCTTTTTCTGTAGGATTCAGATGCAAGTTTTCAAGATTGTACGATTCATATTGCAATAATGAAACTAGCCCAGAATTTGTGTTTCATGGTGAAAAATTCCGATCTATTTCATTTTTTCTTGACAGTCCTGTCTAATAACACAAGATGTTTTGGCATAATTGTTTAATGAGATCTTAAAGAAAGAAAGTTATGCTGATTGTTTTTAAGAATAAATGGGATGTTCAGAATTTATAAATTACAGAGTTATTAGGAGGCTTATAGGAGAGGGTGAATGAACAGAGATTAAGGTAGAATTCAAAAGATTTAGAAAATCAGTTTGGATTTATGCTAGGGAGATCTACCATGGAAACTGTTTACGTGCTCTAGAGATTGATAGAGAAGTACAGAGAAAACAAAAAGACTTGGATGTGATTTTTATCGATCTAGAGAAGCTTATGATATGTTGACTAAGGAATTGCAATGACGGATTCTAGGAAAAGAGGAATTTCAATTAGATATATCAATATCATCAAAACCGTATATGATGGAGCAATTACGATTTACAGTTTAACATGTTGTGATAGTAATATTTAAGATTTTTATATCACTATAAGTTTGCATGTAGTTTGACCTCAAGTCCTATCTCTTTGCTTTGGGTGACATACTCGAGATCATATGGTTTCCATTGATGTAGTTTTAGTCGATAAGACAAAAAAAAAAAAAAAAAAAATTAAGTTGATAAGACCAAAAAAAAAAAAAAAAGAAGAAGAAGAAGGTTAAACCGTAATTAGAAATTTGGACGAAAATGATGGAATCTAAAGTCTTAAGTTGACTAGAACTAAGACTCAATTCATTTTACAACGCTTTAGTAATAGTAGGAATAAATATAATAATGAGGTTTCTCTTAAGAATTGTGTTAATCTTAAAAAGTATTTTTTGTAGGTAACTAAGTTCGATTATGAACGTGGAATAAAGATTTAGAAAAGATGTAATGCATATGATTAGACTTTGTATGTTTTGGAGTAGTGAGTGTTGGACTTAGTATGTTTTGTATTACTGAGTATTGGGAAGAACAAAATGCCTATAAGATGAATATTGCAAAATAAGGATGCTAAGATGGATGAAATAAGAATATATGCCAACAGGTGAGATAAGTGCCAATTGAGAATAGAATAAGTGGAGGATGATTTAGGTGGTTGTGACATATTTCACGTAGACCTAAAGAGGCTTATGATCACAAGATTGACAAGAAGTAAGTAAAACATGTAAGAAGGGGGATGGTAGACTAGAAATAACATGACACTTGGTAGTTGCTAAGGATCTAGGCTTTACATTTTCCTGTAAATCTAGCAACAAATGAACAGAGTGAAAGAAAAGGATTCATGTAGCTTACCCCAAATTTACCATGAAAAAGTAAAGTTTCTTGTTCTTGATGGATTGGCTATGGTTATATGACACTAACTGCTATTTTCTGCTTTCACATATATTCACTCCTAATCAAGATTGATTTCTGTGGCAATTTAGGCAGACGTAATACTAAGAGGATATTCTGGTTGGAACTCAAGGCTCGCTCTTCAAGTCTTAGATCGGGTTTTCCCCAAGGTATACTTGTTGGGTAATGATTCTACTTAAATAAATATGTTTGCCAAAAACTTTGAACCGTTATGCAGTTCTCTGAAACTGGAAACAGGTTAAGTACAATGAGCTATTTTGCCCCAAAATATATTTTAGATGATTTATTTCATAATCATGTATTGACCATGTCCAAATCTGGATTCGAATCTAACAAGGTATTTTTCTTGGTAATATGAATTCAGGGTGCAGCTGTTCAGCCTACTCTGGTTATAGTATATTTTGGTGGAAATGATGCAACAAAAACGCACCCAAGTGGAAAAGGCGCTCATGTTCCTCTTCCCGAGTATGTAGAGAACATGAGAAAGATTGCTCTTCATCTCAAGGTAACTTTGGTCTTCATACTTGTGTTTCTCATGAGTTGCTATAAATGCATCTTATATAAACTCTCGTATGACAAGGAAAATGATTTGCTTTTAGGCTCCACTACAGGACTACAGATTTACAGGAATATGGCAATCATTTCTTTGACCAACCAATACAATTATAAAGCAGAATTAGGTCTTAACTTATAGATTTTGTTGAATTATTCAATTGAAATAGCTTTGATTAAGGTGGAGGTAGTTCCTCTGAAATGATATACATGAATTTTCCTTAGGAAGCTTGTACAATGAATAGAGTGCCCAGCTTCATTTTAGCTTTTTCTTTGTTCTGACTGTGTTATTTTAGGAACTTCATTTTTCATCATTGAGATTAACCTGGACATTTTTTATTATTGATTGGAAATTGCCGTTTCAATGAATGTGCATATATATTTGTTATTCTTTATTGATCAAATGAGGTAAATTTAATTTATGTTACATAATGCCTATTCTTCCTTATCTCTTAATAATATCAATATCAATGCTCTGACTCTGGTTCGCATGATTTCCAGTCTCTTTCAGAGAACATACGGATAATTTTTCTTAGTTCTCCTCCTGTGAACGAAGAGAGAGTTCGAGAAATTTTTGGGTAATTTAAACTAAAATTCAGTTTAATTCATTGGTTTCCTGGCGAAAAGCTTTATGTTCTGAAGAAATCCCTGCTTTTTTGTTCTCCCTCAAAAACCAGCAATGCACTTGATGATCAAGCTCGGACAAACGAAGGCTGCCTCAAATATACTGAAGCTTTAATAGAGTTGGGTCAACAGTTAGATATTAAAGTCATCGATCTTTACACTGCAATTCGTCAAAAAGATGGTTGGGCAAAGGCTTGCTTTATGTAAGTTCACATTTTCATACGCTATTCTTATCTAAGAGCATGTTTTGCTAAGCTTAAAAGTCCTAAGTAAGTTCTTGTGTCCAAATGGGTTTGGATAAGTTACTTTTTCTTACTTTTAAGAAAAAAATTGTTCTCTTCAAAATCATTTTGTGTAGTTCCTGGAAATGGAATCTCTACGTCTACTTGCAAAGTTGGCTCTACGATCTAGATTTCTATCTTTGACATGTCGAATGCTGCATTGGATTTGGACGATTAGTTTTGACATAGTTAATCCTTGTTCTCCATGCAGAGACGGAATCCATTTTTCATCTGAAGGGAGCAAAATTGTCGTAAAGGAGATACTGAAGGTCCTCAAAGATGCCGAATGGGAACCAAGCCTGTACTGGCTTTCAATGCCAGCGGAATTTCCCGAGGATTCGCCATATTACGTTGTTGGTCCTGATGGTGAAACCACCCTTAACGTGACTGATCATGTTTGTACTTGGCAAAAGGAGTGGGTCAATATATAGTGCCAACATGAACCAGGGACAACTTAGGACATGAGTATAATCTCGTCTTTTATACTGTTAATAAGACAGTGTTGTCTAATATGGTTTACCACACACAATTTTTGAATTTGGGCAGAAAGACGTCATGTTGTTCGTCATTTGATTGATTTTGTTCTTAGTTTCAACAAATAATAAGATGTGTGATTTCTATTTTATATATCTTGAAATTATATCATTCCTATAAATGTAGTCTCTTCTACCTCTAAATTAAAATCTAAGAAATTTGTACATACAAACTAGGACAAAAAAAGTGTAATATTAAACTGGAAGAACAAAAAGAAATAATTAAAGTTACTGCCATAATTTGATTCATTGGTGGAGTAATTAGTGTAGTTTGGCTAACAAGAATTTACTTAAGTTTGAAAATATAATTTTTTTAATAGTCAACTATTTTGAAAGAAATTGTCATTTTGTTAAAACAAGTAACTTTTTTACTTATAAGTAAGAAAAAGCAGCCCATGTAAGTTCGTTTTTCTTCTTAAAATTGGAAGTGAAACTTTAATTTCAAGGTTAACAATACATGCTTGTAAAATCACTGTAAAATAGTAGTAATGACAACAGAACTAGGATGCGGGGTGATTAATAAAATCCTCTAACGTTATTTTTATTCTTTAAATATGATTTATATTGAAAAATATACAAATAAAATAAAATATTCAAGATAAGGATCATGTTTTTTGTTCTCACCCTGTTTATTATTAGGAAAATGTTATGTGTACACTTCATGATGTACACCCCTATTAACCCCACGAAATTGGAATTTTGCCATCACAATAAAATAGAGCAACAAGCAAGGGTGAATTTAATCTGGGGTCACTGAACTTTAATTGAAATTTCAATTAGGTCACTTAAATTTAGCTTACCTTTAGTTTCAAATTTCATCAGTCTGCTACCTTCATCATTTACTGTCCTCCAAATTGATAGAAATTGCTTTATCAACGCTAGAACACAAATGATTTTCCATGTAATTACCATGTTGCACGCCAGAAGCGAAAAATAGTAAAATAAGGATCAAATGTTTTTAGATTAAAATGATAAAAGATTTATTTTTTATTTTATTTTATCACTTTTATGACGTGAAATTGTGATAAATTGACATGTTACACGACCATTAAGTAAAATATCCATTTTGATATGAGATAGCACACGACGAATTAGTGACATAAAAATTCCTGATCGAATTCAAAATTAAATTGAAGTTTAATAACTTAAAGACAAATTAAACAAGTTATCGTTGTATTTCAAAAGTTTTATACTTCAGTATTGCCCAGGCTAGATCAATGAACATTACTGTTCAACGTATCATTTGATGATTCTTCCCACATTGAATCTGGAGCTATGGTTCTTCCTTAATAAAATGGGTTATTCTACTTGTACATCAAGATATACACCCTCCATGTGAGGGGGGGACACCTTGATGTACATCAAGCATAACCCTAATAAAATAGGACTTAATTAATTTGAAAATGAGCAACTTAACTTAATCATTTCCAACTTTAGTATGACAAAAATATTTTATTTAATCAAAAACCATTTATTGCATTCTTTGAAAACTACGATCACGTTGATAAGCCTTGGTAAGTCGAGGTTTAAGACAATTACCAAGGATCAAGAGATGAAACATGCTACTCAAGAAATCTTATACTCAATGACACTATAATACAGAACTGGTAATTCTCAATTCAGTATTCAAATGCCGAAAACTACATGCAAAGACGATTCTTGATATAATCAAATAAATGAACATACATTCGGAGGGAAAACAGGCGAAAGAAGAAAAAACATCAGCAGCAGCAGCAGTAGTACTAACATGTAGGACATAAAAATTCCGCAGATTGGATCTTTAATCATGTTTGGCATTCTTCCCCATCGAACAAAACCAAGGTACGTGCATCCAATAATTTACATCAATCACACCAAAGATAGATCAAGAAGAGCAGCAGATCCACCTGTTAGATGTGTTCACGGCACCAAATTCTTATGTGGAAAGCTGGAATCTTCCACTGGGCTTTTTTCTTCTCCACCCCTTAAAAGTTACATGGTAGATACAGCTTTAAGCTCAAGGTTTCACGGAAAAATGATAATAGAATTCTAAAGTTTAGTGTCACTTACAAAAGCTGAGTAATACACAAAAGTCAGCCCTGCCAGAATAATGAATCCGATCTGAAACACATTATACCTGCAACAACACTCAAGATTTTGAGTCTAATAATAGTAAATTGACAAGAAAAACATAAAAAGACCAGCAAGAAGCTAAGACTTATAATGAAACCGACAACTGACTTGTATAAATATTTGATTCCCCGAAGAGATTGCAAGGTGTGACCAAAGATTTCTTGAGCAGCAGTAGCCTGTGCATAGTATGCAAATGCAGTGGCGCAGAACTGGATCACACTGCAAACATGGGGACAAAACTACTCAGGCCAAAAAGTTCGTCAAGAGTAGAAATTCAGAAGCATGTGGCAAGCAACGTATCAAGGGGTTATTAGCCTACAGAATAAGCCTATGAAACTAATATACTGATGTTACATGTAATGAGCTGGAGATGAAACAGGCTCCACCACGCTTAACATGCATTGGAACTTTCAGTTTCATAATAACATTTAATCAAGCAAACCATAGAAATTGGACCAATGAGAGAGATGACCACAAATCCCAGATAAATAACTAAGCGCATGTTTGGTAGGTGTTTCTTTAATCACTTCTAGTGAAACTTACTTTTTATCCACATATTTACGAGGGACCTACAAGTACTACTCACTTATCCACCACTCATTTCTATTATCTATAATTTAAACTGATTATAATCACCTACCAAACATGCTTTAAATCTACTATCAATTAACAAGAAGAAACTGCATACAATATCAAAAAACTGGACAAACAAAATGTAGCTGGAAGTTCTCAATAAAACCGATTCAAGGACACCTTTGTAAAGTGCATTGGTCCCATAGAGTTGTGATGTGTTTGTCCTTAGAAGATTTGATTTACAATGCGTATAAAATGTTCCAAGTGCATATAGAACTAAAGAGTCCACGTTAAGATCTTACCTGATTGAGCAAAGGAGAATGAGGCCCACATTAAAAAGAAAAGAATTCATGAGTGTGGCTCCCCATCTGTAAATATAATTTAAAATATTAGTCAGCAACCACAAATTATCATGAAAACAAAGTGGCAAAAAATAAAATCTAAGGTTAAACAACCAATAAAAATCTTATACTACCAAGTATACATACTTCATAGGATGGATAGTTATAAAAACTAATTTCAATCCAAGCATCATTGCCCCAGCAATGACTGCAAGCAGAAGATAGAAGCAGAAGAATGCAAATGCTGCAGTCCCCAGGAGACCTAAAAGTAGCAGGAATTAAGAGCATATTAGTTCATGTCACGTCAAGCAGCAGACAACGAATGAAGTGAGAAAAAGAAGTTTACTCTATACCCCAAACATCATCCAATTTGATGAAGATCTCATTAAGGAATGCAGAAATAGGAGGGTCAATCAGCAAATATATGACAATATGTGCAATCCAAGCCACTGAAACAATCAACCTATTCAAAGCCAGCAAATATATACTGTCAGTCAGCTTTCAGAAAATACACATCCAAAATAGATCAGTAGGTCAAATAGCAGCAAAACCATTAAGAATAAAGCAGGCAGTAAAGCAGGCAGGAAAGAACAGATCTCTCCATTGAACTCAGAAGACATTGCAATTCAAAATCAACTTTCTTCATTTACCAGGATCCATGGGAAGTTTTCCCACCATCCACACCCCCAACCCAAAATAAACCCAATGACAACAAATATTTACTAGTAAGCAAGCTTGTCAAACATTGACCTGATACGCAATTGAGTTAAGGTGTTGAATTCTGAGATTCTTGAATCAGTATTATTTCATTATTCAAGAAATTCAGACACGTGTTACCCCCAAATGTTCTATAAGAAAGTGAACTGAAATTCCAGGTGCACAAAGTAAGTAACAAGAACGTACCCTAGAACTCCCAGTACAAGTTTGGCTAGGTAGCCAAGAACAGTCATAGCCCATGAAGCCTCAGCCTAAATACATTAGGCAACAAAATTATTCAGATTTTCCTTCTTTCTAGATCAGAAAGCTTGTACAATCACAATACAGATGATCAGACAACATTTTTAGGGTCATCACCTTTTCACCTTGAGGGTACATCTCTTCCAATGCCTTCACATCTTCTTCCAAGAGAAGTAGCTCCTGCAAGATACGAACACACAATAGAATCCTCAGATAATGAAAACAAATTCAACTTTCATATTACCATCACAACAAAGCAAATCTCCAGTGAGGTAAAAGAAAAACGTGATAGAATAAAAAAGGAAAAAAAGAAAAGCGTAAAAGATGAAGTAAACCTGAAATGCACCACATCAACCTAATAATTGTGAAATGCATGGTGTCATCAACAAGAGAAACCCAATTGTCCTTCGTATAATAAGGAAGGCATGATAAACTAGATCTGGTATGTTATGCAGCTAAGAAATCCAAAGCATTTGAAGCACTCGTACCCAATTTAGTCTTATAAAAAAAATTGCCCATCACAGCTGAAAACATAAATTAAAACCAAAAGTGCATCTAACTTGACATGCAAAATATGAGAGAAACAACAATAACAGATGATATATAACGTACCTTTTCTACTGCTTTCACATTTTTACGCCATTTTCTTCCCTTACTACCACTCCTTTCCTCTTGATGAAGTGCATCAGCTGCTTTTTTCAATTCTCTAGCTTTTTTACTAAGTTCAGTTGCTTCCTACATGATCAAGAAGTAATGACCATGTGTAAGGTGTAGATATAGACACCTTCAGTGACAAGATTTAAGTTGTTTTCATGTAGGTCCAAATTGGTGAAGAACAACAGATACCTTGATATACTGCGAACGTGTTATAACAGCCTTTGGACGTCTGATGAATGAAAATGTAAGTCCCAATGGGAGGCAAGCAATGCCCACACCACCAAATATCTGGTGAACATTTAGCACATATTACAATTGAGAATAATATCTTGCCATGAAAGAGGAGAAAAGAAAAGCCCATAATCTTATTCAACATCAATATGCCATGTCTTTCTGGACCATGATTGGTTTATTTCAGTTACTATTCTTCATATAAATTTAGTGATATTACTATAGGTGATATTAACAACTCCAATCATGAACATATGCTAGACAAACATAAAGGGGCAGATAAATATTTATCAAAATGTATGAAATCAAGAGAAAGACAACCACCGCATATGTACTCTTTTGCAAATAAGAAAAAGATAAACATGGAACACATATTTCACATCATTATTTTGGAGATTTTATTGTTACAAACTGCAATAGAGGGACTTACAGTGAAAAGCACAGATCCAGCAATTGTAGCTAGAGCAACAACATATTCTGGGAAGGTAGTTCGCATAGTCCATGTTGTCTCGGATGAAGCACTGGCAGAATATGCAGAACACTGGAGAAATAGGAAAATATGTAAGAACGGTGAATCAAAATCAACGAGTAAGTAGAATAATATAATATATTTCCTAACCTGCCGTGCTCCACTTCCAACACACTGCTGACCACGGGTGAGGCCCCAAGTAGATGGAAAGGGTTCAGTGGACGAGGATAGGTGTCGAACTGTGAAGTCCACCTTACCGACAAGTCCTAGTAACAGAAATTTATATTAATGCAACAACAATGAGAACGTTAAGATGGAAATGCCACCAGCCAACCATACTAGAATGTATAGTGTCAACAAATGGGGTGACACCAATCTAGGAAAAAATTAAATAACAAACGACTTATATAGTTGGGGCATGTCCTATGTAAACCTAATGAAGCTTCATCTTTAGGAGTGGTGCAATCTCAACACATAAAATGTAAAAACTTAAAAGAGCAGATATCATCAATATTAATATGGCCTATTGCAATTATGAAATGTTCGATTTTATAAGATCTTGCCAAGTTTCGCTTGCTTCTTAAAGACAACCTATAATAAGGATTACCATGGTGAAACCAGCAAAGCCAGTAGAAGACCAGAAAAAATGCAAGAAAAATAAATAATATTAGAAAATTCAAGTTAATAAGAGAACTGGTACCACCTAATAGATGAAATATTACTTAAAAAACTTGGGGTCTAAGCTTACATACCACTGGATATTAGATCACTTCATCATTAAATGAAAACAAATAATGGCAACTCCATAAACTTACACTTGCAAACTCCAAACTCAATGGCCACATACAGGTCTTTTTACAGTCAACAGCTCTAATCATGTGTTCAGTAACAATCCATAAATACTTTCAACTACTAGAATCACAAATATTGAGCTTCCCAAATTGAATTGGAGTAACATTTAGTTTGTTGTTGACCTTTCACATTATGCAGCCCATTTAAGATTTAGCTAATTTTTCGTTATCAAACAAAGTTATTTGCAAAAATATATCTTCAAGCCCACAAAAAAACCAACATAAAACGTAACTGAGAAATCAACGAGAAACTAACCATACAAAATCCCTAGCACCAAAGCACAAACAATAGCTGTCGTTATCACCCACAACAATGCACTTTTCATCCTTTTCCAAACACTTCTGCAAAACCCACAAATTATATAAATAAACCAAACACAATTATTTCAACATGTATCATTAAAAATCCACACACATCTTGACAATAATAAAAAACAGCTGAAAATGAGAAACCCTAAGAGTAATATACGGACTTATCCATGTCGCCTTCATAGTAGAACATTGCAAATGGAATGACGAAAAACACAAGGATAGCATCAATAATGTAGATGGCGAGCCACAGGTCCTTCATCGGGAGCGTAAGATTACACGCCCCATTATAAATTGCGTGCCTGCAAGCCTGCCGGTTAGCCACATCTGCTGGAAGCATTAAAATTGAAATTGCTGCAACAGAGAGACCCAAAACAACGACGAATTTGGGGAAATACGCCTGATTAGCATCATCTGGATGCTGGTAGTTTACAAGGAGGTACAAATTGAATATAAACACCAGAACACACACGACTATTGCAACGATTACCAAGGCTAAATTGAAATCCCCCATTGTCTCTCACGATTCGAACCAACTGTTATTCGAATCGGTATTTCTTATATGGATTTAAATGAGGATTTTTCCCGATCTGAATTTGAGAAAACTTAACTTTTAAAAAATTAGAGAGAGAAAGGGCAAATGGAAGAAGAAGAGAGAGAAAAAAGCCGGAATGCTCCGGTGACAATTTGATTGGGCGAAAGTGGGGGTGAACCAGATGGGGTCTGACGCTTTATGTGAAATTACTGTTGTAACCCCTCAGTATAGAGAAGGCGATCGGTTCATTGGCTCGGACCGCTCATAATTCAGCTTGAAAAAATCCGAGCCGGTCCAATTTAATACTCGAGTCGAGGCCCATTTTGGGATGTCGGGCAAAGCTCGAGTCAGTCCATGTTACTTGCCGGCTCGAATTCATGGACTCATATTTAAAAATAAATAAATAAATTTTAAAGGCAACAATTTGTTGCCTTAAAAAAAAAAAAAAAAAAATACCAAAACCAAAATCAAAGTTGAGCTTGCCCGGCTGCGCTCGGAAATGTTCGAGTCGAAAGCTTGGGTCGAGTCGAACCCAGAAAAAAGCTCCCTCATTTTAACCAAGCCTCGAGTTTTTATGCTGATTGTTTTTAAGAATAAATGGGATGTTCAGAATTTATAAATTACAGAGTTATTAGGAGGCTTATAGGAGAGGGTGAATGAACAGAGATTAAGGTAGAATTCAAAAGATTTAGAAAATCAGTTTGGATTTATGCTAGGGAGATCTACCATGGAAACTGTTTACGTGCTCTAGAGATTGATAGAGAAGTACAGAGAAAACAAAAAGACTTGGATGTGATTTTTATCGATCTAGAGAAGCTTATGATATGTTGACTAAGGAATTGCAATGACGGATTCTAGGAAAAGAGGAATTTCAATTAGATATATCAATATCATCAAAACCGTATATGATGGAGCAATTACGATTTACAGTTTAACATGTTGTGATAGTAATATTTAAGATTTTTATATCACTATAAGTTTGCATGTAGTTTGACCTCAAGTCCTATCTCTTTGCTTTGGGTGACATACTCGAGATCATATGGTTTCCATTGATGTAGTTTTAGTCGATAAGACAAAAAAAAAAAAAAAAAAAGATTAAACCGTAAATTAGAAATTTGGACGAAAATGATGGAATCTAAAGTTTAAGTTGAGTAGAACTAAGACTCAATTCATTTTACAACGCCTTAGTGATAGTAGGAATAAATATAATAATGAGGTTTCTCTTAAGAATTGTGTTATTCTTAAAAGTATTTTTGTAGGTAACTAAGTTCGATTATGAACGTGGAATAAAGAATTAAAAAAGATGTAATACATATGATTAGACTTGGTATGTTTTGGAGTAGTGAGTGTTGGACTTAGTATGTTTTGTACTACTGAGTATTGGAAAGAACAAAATGCCTATAAGATGAATATAGCAAAAATAAGAATGCTAAAATGGATGAAATAAGAATATATGCCAACAGGTGAGAGAAGAGCCAATTGAGAATAGAATAAGTGGAGGATGATTTAGGTGGTTGTGACATATTTCAGTAGACCTATAAGAGGCTTATGATCACAAGAGTGACAAGATCTAAGTACAACATGTAAGAAGGGGGGTGGTAGACTAGAAATAATATGACCTTTGGTGGTTGCTAAGGATCTAGGCTTTACATTTTCCTGTAAATCTAGCAACAAATGAACGGAGTGAAAGAAAAGGATTCATGTAGCTTACCCCAAATTTACCGTGAAAAAGTAAAGTTGGTTGTTCTTGATGGATTGGCTATGGGTATGTGACACTGATTAACTGCTATTTTCTGCTTTCATATCTATTCACTCCTAATCAAGATTGATTTCTGTGGCAATTTAGGCAGACGTAATACTAAGAGGATATTCTGGTTGGAACTCAAGGCTCGCTCTTCAAGTCTTAGATCGGGTTTTCCCCAAGGTATACTTCTTGGGTAATGATTCTACTTAAATAAATACGTTGGCCAAACACTTTAAACCGTTATGCAGTTTCCTGAAACTGGAAACAGGTTAGCTACAATGAGCTATTTTGCCCCAAAATATATTTTAGATAATTCATTTCATAATCATGTATTGACCATGTCCTAATCTGGATTCAAATCTAACAAGGTATTTTTCTTTTATGAATTCAGGATGCAGCTGTTCAGCCTTCTCTGGTTATAGTATATTTTGGTGGAAATGATGCAACAAACCCGCACCCAAGTGGAAAAGGCGCTCATGTTCCTCTTCCCGAGTATGTAGAGAACATGAGAAAGATTGCTCTTCATCTCAAGGTAACTTTGTTCTTCATACTTATGTTTCTCACGAGCTGCTATAAATTCATCTTATATAAACTCTTGTATGACAAGGAGAATGATTTGCTTTTAGGCTCCACTACAGGACTACAGATTTACAGGAATATGGCAATCATTTCTTTGACCAACTAATACAATTATAAAGCAGAATTAGGCCTTAACTTGGAGATTTTGTTGAATTATTCAATTGAAATAGCTTTGATTAAGGTGGAGGTAGTTCCTGTGAAATGATATACGTGAATTTTCCTTAGGAAGCTTGTACAATGAATAGAGTGCCCAGCTTCATTTTGGCTTTTTCTTTGTTCTAACTATGTGTTATTTTAGGAACTTCATTTTTCATCATTGAGATTAACCTGGAAATTTTTTATTATTGATTGGAAATTGCAGTTTCAATGAATGTGCACATATGTTTGTTATTCTTTATTGATCAAATGAAGGAAATTTAATTTATGTTACATAATGCCTATTCTTCCTATCTCTTAATAATATCAATATTAATGCTCTGACTCTGGTTCGCATGATTTCCAGTCTCTTTCAGAGAACATACGGATAATTTTTCTTAGTTCTCCTCCCGTGAATGAAGAGAGAGTTCGAGAAATTTTTGGGTAATTTAAACTAAAATTCAGTTTAATTCATTGGTTTCCTGTCGAAAAGTTTTATGATTTGAAGAAATCCCTGCATTTTTGTTCTCCCTCAAAAACCAGCAATGCACTTGATGATCAAGCTCGGACAAACGAAGGCTGCCTCAAATATACTGAAGCTTTAGTAGAGTTGGGTCAACAGTTAGATATTAAAGTCATCGATCTTTACACTGCAATTCGTCAAAGAGATGGTTGGGCAAAGGCTTGCTTTATGTAAGTTCACATTTTCATATGCTATTCTTATCTAAGAGTATGTTTTGCTAAGCTTAAAAGTAAATAAAGTTAATCCTAAGTAAGTTACTTTTTCTTACTTTTAAGAAAAAATTGTTCTCTTCAAAATCATTTTGCGTAGTTCCTGGAAATGGAATCTCTACGTCTACTTGCAAAGTTGGCTCTACGATCTAGATTTCTATCTTTGACATGTCGAATGCTGCGTTGGATTTGGACGATTAGTTTTGACATAGCTAATCCTTGTTCTCCATGCAGAGACGGAATCCATTTTTCATCTGAAGGGAGCAAAATTGTCGTAAAGGAGATACTGAAGGTCCTCAAAGACGCCGAATGGGAACCAAGCCTGTACTGGCTGTCAATGCCAGCGGAATTTCCCGAGGATTCGCCATATTACGTTGTTGGTCCTGATGGTGAAACCACCCTTAACGTGACTGATCATGTTTGTACTTGGCAAAAGGAGTGGGTCAATATATAGTGCCAACATGAACCCGGGACAACTTGGGACATGAGTATAATCTCATCTTTTATACTGTAATGAGACAGTGTTGTCTAATATGGTTTACCATTCACAATTTTTGAATTTGGGCAGAAAGACATCATGTTGTTCGTCATTTGATGGATTTTGTTCTTAGTTTCAACAAATAATAAGATGTGCGATTTCTATTTTATATATCTTGAAATTATATCATTCCTATAAATGTGGTCTCCGCTACTTGTAAATTTAAAATCTAAGAAATTTGTATATACAAAGTAGGACAAAAAAAGTGTAATATTAAACTGGATGAACAAGAAGAAATGTGAAAGCTACTGCCATAATTTGATTCTTTGGTATAGTAATTAGTGTAGTTTGGCTAACCTGAATTTACATAAGTTTGAAAATATAATATTTTTAATAGTAAAGTATTTTGAAAGAAATTGTCATTTTGTCAAAACAAGTAACTTTTTTACTTGTAAGTGAGAAAAAAGGAACCCATCTAAGTTCGTTAAAAACTAAAGTTCTTAAAATTGGAAAGTGAAACTTAATTTCAAGGTTAACATTACATGCTTGTAAAATCACTATAAAATAGTAGTAATGACAACAGAACTAGGATGAAGGGTGATTAATAAAATCCTCATTTAACGTTATTTTTATTCTTTAAATATGATTTATATTGAAAAATATACAAATAAAATAAAATATTCAAGATAAGGATCATGTTTTTTGTTCTCACCCTGTTTATTATTAGGAAAATATTATGTGTACACCTCATGATGTACACCCCTATTAACCCCATGAAATTGGAATTTTGCCATCGCAATAAAATAGAGCAACAAACAAGGGTGAATTTAATCTGGGGTCACTGAACTTTAATTGAAATTTCAATTAGGTCACTAAATTTAGCTTACCTTTAGTTTCAAATTTCATCAGTCTGCTACCTTCATCATTTACTGTCCTCCAAATTGATAGAAATTGCTTAATCAACGCTAGAACACAAATGATTTTCCATGTAATTACCATGTTGCACGCCAGAAGCGAAAAATAGTAAAATAAGGATCAAATGTTTTTAGATTAAAATGATAAAAGATTTATTTTTTATTTTATTTTATCACTTTTATGACGTGAAATTGTGATAAATTGACATGTCACACGACCATTAAGTAAAATATCCATTTTGATATGAGCTAGCACACGACGAATTAGTGACATAAAAATTCCTGATCGAATTCAAAATTAAATTGAAGTTTAATAACTTAAAGACAAATTAAACAAGTTATCGTTGTATTTCAAAAGTTTTATACTTCAGTATTGCCCAGGCTAGATCAATGAACATTACTGTTCAACGTATCATTTGATGATTCTTCCCACATTGAATCTGGAGCTATGGTTCTTCCTTAATAAAATGGGTTATTCTACTTGTACATCAAGATATACACCCTCCATGTGAGGGGGGGACACCTTGATGTACATCAAGCATAACCCTAATAAAATAGGACTTAATTAATTTGAAAATGAGCAACTTAACTTAATCATTTCCAACTTTAGTATGACAAAAATATTTTATTTAATCAAAAACCATTTATTGCATTCTTTGAAAACTACGATCACGTTGATAAGCCTTGGTAAGTCGAGGTTTAAGACAATTACCAAGGATCAAGAGATGAAACATGCTACTCAAGAAATCTTATACTCAATGACACTATAATACAGAACTGGTAATTCTCAATTCAGTATTCAAATGCCGAAAACTACATGCAAAGACGATTCTTGATATAATCAAATAAATGAACATACATTCGGAGGGAAAACAGGCGAAAGAAGAAAAAACATCAGCAGCAGCAGCAGTAGTACTAACATGTAGGACATAAAAATTCCGCAGATTGGATCTTTAATCATGTTTGGCATTCTTCCCCATCGAACAAAACCAAGGTACGTGCATCCAATAATTTACATCAATCACACCAAAGATAGATCAAGAAGAGCAGCAGATCCACCTGTTAGATGTGTTCACGGCACCAAATTCTTATGTGGAAAGCTGGAATCTTCCACTGGGCTTTTTTCTTCTCCACCCCTTAAAAGTTACATGGTAGATACAGCTTTAAGCTCAAGGTTTCACGGAAAAATGATAATAGAATTCTAAAGTTTAGTGTCACTTACAAAAGCTGAGTAATACACAAAAGTCAGCCCTGCCAGAATAATGAATCCGATCTGAAACACATTATACCTGCAACAACACTCAAGATTTTGAGTCTAATAATAGTAAATTGACAAGAAAAACATAAAAAGACCAGCAAGAAGCTAAGACTTATAATGAAACCGACAACTGACTTGTATAAATATTTGATTCCCCGAAGAGATTGCAAGGTGTGACCAAAGATTTCTTGAGCAGCAGTAGCCTGTGCATAGTATGCAAATGCAGTGGCGCAGAACTGGATCACACTGCAAACATGGGGACAAAACTACTCAGGCCAAAAAGTTCGTCAAGAGTAGAAATTCAGAAGCATGTGGCAAGCAACGTATCAAGGGGTTATTAGCCTACAGAATAAGCCTATGAAACTAATATACTGATGTTACATGTAATGAGCTGGAGATGAAACAGGCTCCACCACGCTTAACATGCATTGGAACTTTCAGTTTCATAATAACATTTAATCAAGCAAACCATAGAAATTGGACCAATGAGAGAGATGACCACAAATCCCAGATAAATAACTAAGCGCATGTTTGGTAGGTGTTTCTTTAATCACTTCTAGTGAAACTTACTTTTTATCCACATATTTACGAGGGACCTACAAGTACTACTCACTTATCCACCACTCATTTCTATTATCTATAATTTAAACTGATTATAATCACCTACCAAACATGCTTTAAATCTACTATCAATTAACAAGAAGAAACTGCATACAATATCAAAAAACTGGACAAACAAAATGTAGCTGGAAGTTCTCAATAAAACCGATTCAAGGACACCTTTGTAAAGTGCATTGGTCCCATAGAGTTGTGATGTGTTTGTCCTTAGAAGATTTGATTTACAATGCGTATAAAATGTTCCAAGTGCATATAGAACTAAAGAGTCCACGTTAAGATCTTACCTGATTGAGCAAAGGAGAATGAGGCCCACATTAAAAAGAAAAGAATTCATGAGTGTGGCTCCCCATCTGTAAATATAATTTAAAATATTAGTCAGCAACCACAAATTATCATGAAAACAAAGTGGCAAAAAATAAAATCTAAGGTTAAACAACCAATAAAAATCTTATACTACCAAGTATACATACTTCATAGGATGGATAGTTATAAAAACTAATTTCAATCCAAGCATCATTGCCCCAGCAATGACTGCAAGCAGAAGATAGAAGCAGAAGAATGCAAATGCTGCAGTCCCCAGGAGACCTAAAAGTAGCAGGAATTAAGAGCATATTAGTTCATGTCACGTCAAGCAGCAGACAACGAATGAAGTGAGAAAAAGAAGTTTACTCTATACCCCAAACATCATCCAATTTGATGAAGATCTCATTAAGGAATGCAGAAATAGGAGGGTCAATCAGCAAATATATGACAATATGTGCAATCCAAGCCACTGAAACAATCAACCTATTCAAAGCCAGCAAATATATACTGTCAGTCAGCTTTCAGAAAATACACATCCAAAATAGATCAGTAGGTCAAATAGCAGCAAAACCATTAAGAATAAAGCAGGCAGGAAAGAACAGATCTCTCCATTGAACTCAGAAGACATTGCAATTCAAAATCAACTTTCTTCATTTACCAGGATCCATGGGAAGTTTTCCCACCATCCACACCCCCAACCCAAAATAAACCCAATGACAACAAATATTTACTAGTAAGCAAGCTTGTCAAACATTGACCTGATACGCAATTGAGTTAAGGTGTTGAATTCTGAGATTCTTGAATCAGTATTATTTCATTATTCAAGAAATTCAGACACGTGTTACCCCCAAATGTTCTATAAGAAAGTGAACTGAAATTCCAGGTGCACAAAGTAAGTAACAAGAACGTACCCTAGAACTCCCAGTACAAGTTTGGCTAGGTAGCCAAGAACAGTCATAGCCCATGAAGCCTCAGCCTAAATACATTAGGCAACAAAATTATTCAGATTTTCCTTCTTTCTAGATCAGAAAGCTTGTACAATCACAATACAGATGATCAGACAACATTTTTAGGGTCATCACCTTTTCACCTTGAGGGTACATCTCTTCCAATGCCTTCACATCTTCTTCCAAGAGAAGTAGCTCCTGCAAGATACGAACACACAATAGAATCCTCAGATAATGAAAACAAATTCAACTTTCATATTACCATCACAACAAAGCAAATCTCCAGTGAGGTAAAAGAAAAACGTGATAGAATAAAAAAGGAAAAAAAGAAAAGCGTAAAAGATGAAGTAAACCTGAAATGCACCACATCAACCTAATAATTGTGAAATGCATGGTGTCATCAACAAGAGAAACCCAATTGTCCTTCGTATAATAAGGAAGGCATGATAAACTAGATCTGGTATGTTATGCAGCTAAGAAATTCAAAGCATTTGAAGCACTCATACCCAATTTAGTCTTATAAAAAAAATTGCCCATCACAGCTGAAAACATAAATTAAAACCAAAAGTGCATCTAACTTGACATGCAAAATATGAGAGAAACAACAATAACAGATGATATATAACGTACCTTTTCTACTGCTTTCACATTTTTACGCCATTTTCTTCCCTTACTACCACTCCTTTCCTCTTGATGAAGTGCATCAGCTGCTTTTTTCAATTCTCTAGCTTTTTTACTAAGTTCAGTTGCTTCCTACATGATCAAGAAGTAATGACCATGTGTAAGGTGTAGATATAGACACCTTCAGTGACAAGATTTAAGTTGTTTTCATGTAGGTCCAAATTGGTGAAGAACAACAGATACCTTGATATACTGCGAACGTGTTATAACAGCCTTTGGACGTCTGATGAATGAAAATATAAGTCCCAATGGGAGGCAAGCAATGCCCACACCACCAAATATCTGGTGAACATTTAGCACATATTACAATTGAGAATAATATCTTGCCATGAAAGAGGAGAAAAGAAAAGCCCATAATCTTATTCAACATCAATATGCCATGTCTTTCTGGACCATGATTGGTTTATTTCAGTTACTATTCTTCATATAAATTTAGTGATATTACTATAGGTGATATTAACAACTCCAATCATGAACATATGCTAGACAAACATAAAGGGGCAGATAAATATTTATCAAAATGTATGAAATCAAGAGAAAGACAACCACCGCATATGTACTCTTTTGCAAATAAGAAAAAGATAAACATGGAACACATATTTCACATCATTATTTTGGAGATTTTATTGTTACAAACTGCAATAGAGGGACTTACAGTGAAAAGCACAGATCCAGCAATTGTAGCTAGAGCAACAACATATTCTGGGAAGGTAGTTCGCATAGTCCATGTTGTCTCGGATGAAGCACTGGCAGAATATGCAGAACACTGGAGAAATAGGAAAATATGTAAGAACGGTGAATCAAAATCAACGAGTAAGTAGAATAATATAATATATTTCCTAACCTGCCGTGCTCCACTTCCAACACACTGCTGACCACGGGTGAGGCCCCAAGTAGATGGAAAGGGTTCAGTGGACGAGGATAGGTGTCGAACTGTGAAGTCCACCTTACCGACAAGTCCTAGTAACAGAAATTTATATTAATGCAACAACAATGAGAACGTTAAGATGGAAATGCCACCAGCCAACCATACTAGAATGTATAGTGTCAACAAATGGGGTGACACCAATCTAGGAAAAAATTAAATAACAAACGACTTATATAGTTGAGGCATGTCCTATGTAAACCTAATGAAGCTTCATCTTTAGGAGTGGTGCAATCTCAACACATAAAATGTAAAAACTTAAAAGAGCAGATATCATCAATATTAATATGGCCTATTGCAATTATGAAATGTTCGATTTTATAAGATCTTGCCAAGTTTCGCTTGCTTCTTAAAGACAACTTATAATAAGGATTACCATGGTGAAACCAGCAAAGCCAGTAGAAGACCAGAAAAAATGCAAGAAAAATAAATAATATTAGAAAATTCAAGTTAATAAGAGAACTGGTACCACCTAATAGATGAAATATTACTTAAAAAACTTGGGGTCTAAGCTTACATACCACTGGATATTAGATCACTTCATCATTAAATGAAAACAAATAATGGCAACTCCATAAACTTACACTTGCAAACTCCAAACTCAATGGCCACATACAGGTCTTTTTACAGTCAACAGCTCTAATCATGTGTTCAGTAACAATCCATAAATACTTTCAACTACTAGAATCACAAATATTGAGCTTCCCAAATTGAATTGGAGTAACATTTAGTTTGTTGTTGACCTTTCACATTATGCAGCCCATTTAAGATTTAGCTAATTTTTCGTTATCAAACAAAGTTATTTGCAAAAATATATCTTCAAGCCCACAAAAAAACCAACATAAAACGTAACTGAGAAATCAACGAGAAACTAACCATACAAAATCCCTAGCACCAAAGCACAAACAATAGCTGTCGTTATCACCCACAACAATGCACTTTTCATCCTTTTCCAAACACTTCTGCAAAACCCACAAATTATATAAATAAACCAAACACAATTATTTCAACATGTATCATTAAAAATCCACACACATCTTGACAATAATAAAAAACAGCTGAAAATGAGAAACCCTAAGAGTAATATACGGACTTATCCATGTCGCCTTCATAGTAGAACATTGCAAATGGAATGACGAAAAACACAAGGATAGCATCAATAATGTAGATGGCGAGCCACAGGTCCTTCATCGGGAGCGTAAGATTACACGCCCCATTATAAATTGCGTGCCTGCAAGCCTGCCGGTTAGCCACATCTGCTGGAAGCATTAAAATTGAAATTGCTGCAACAGAGAGACCCAAAACAACGACGAATTTGGGGAAATACGCCTGATTAGCATCATCTGGATGCTGGTAGTTTACAAGGAGGTACAAATTGAATATAAACACCAGAACACACACGACTATTGCAACGATTACCAAGGCTAAATTGAAATCCCCCATTGTCTCTCACGATTCGAACCAACTGTTATTCGAATCGGTATTTCTTATATGGATTTAAATGAGGATTTTTCCCGATCTGAATTTGAGAAAACTTAACTTTTAAAAAATTAGAGAGAGAAAGGGCAAATGGAAGAAGAAGAGAGAGAAAAAAGCCGGAATGCTCCGGTGACAATTTGATTGGGCGAAAGTGGGGGTGAACCAGATGGGGTCTGACGCTTTATGTGAAATTACTGTTGTAACCCCTCAGTATAGAGA